ATTACCCTATTTAGTAAAATAACCTATATGAACAATTAATTATTGCGCACTAACCAATCATACAAGAGGCTGTAGCAATTCAAAGCAGGGAACATATAAATATCAATAAATGAAGAGAATAATTAAAAATGATTTAGATCTAGCAGTAATTACTGAATCAATTCATCAGTTGTCCCCTTGACTAGAATTAGGAATTTAGTTCCCTGTGATTAGAGAGCAAGCCATGCGTGGGTAGTTGGGAAAAATTGTTAGATTTGCTCGTTCGATTCCGGCCGACAGAGTGAAAACAGAACGAAGAGAATCGCCACTCTCTATTGCTTCTGATCAAAACGTACGATAGAAGCCTGATGCTTTCTACCAACTTGGTCCCAGCCGCAGGAAAAACAAATTTCCACAAGTCCACAATTGCGGCTGGACTTCAATTCTTTGCCAAAGAAAAGAAAAGTCAATCCAGTAGCTTTTCCTCTCAATTGTTCACGATAACATACGAGAATGTCTTTTTCTTGTTCCTTTCATTCGGTCAACAATAATGAAGAACCAATCTCTAGGTCAACAGCAATGGCCTTTTCTTCTAATTCCTTACAGAGCCCAAAAAAAAAAATAAAAAAGGTAGTTGTCTCCCGGAAGTCTAATTACTTCCTCTCTTCCTGTTTTTTGATAGCCGAAATTCAATGAGGGGATTTCCCCTAATCGGAAATTGATCTTTCAAAATTAAAACAAGACTCCCTAAAAATAAAATAAAATAATATCTATTACAATTTAGTTTCTTTAGTTTCTTGAGCGGTCCCCACTGCTTGAAGTGCCTCACGTACGACGAATCTTCTGAATTTCGATTTTAAGCACTTTTCAGCATCCATTCCTGCAATTAGCACCAAAATCATATATGAGTAGAATTCACCCAATTAATGAAAATATTTAGTCAAATAATCATATATTAATGCCCAAAACACCCCACTAAAATGCACCCTATCAATAAAGTTGAAGACTAATCATAAGTTGGGGTTGGATATTGTGTTTACTACGATTGAATTTTTCATAGAAATTCAAACTCATGATAGAATTGGAAATAACCACAATGCTGAGATTAGTTTAAGGAAAGAATGATGGAATTGGACTAAGCTATTCTATTTGTTTATTTTCTAATTCTTTTAGTTTCTTTTTCAGTAAGAACTTAAGACCTAATAGTTTAAACTTTTGGGTTAGAGTTGATTTCCTAACTTACATATTGGGTTTTTTGATGAACTTTTTCGAGATGTTTCTCCCTAACACATCATTAACTAGTTTCAAAGCAAATTTTACTAGCTTATGACACAACTTTGTGCCTACTCTATATATAAAGGAGAAATTGCATTGGTCAAAAAACTCCCTCAACTCTTGTATATCCTCCAGTACCATGGCACAATTCCAGTCAATGCAGGAGCCTGTTGTAATGCAGTTTATCTCACTTTTCCAGTCAGACTGTATTTCGATCTACCTCCAACTTGCTTCTTTTCCCAATTGCATAGCCATTCTGATTGCCAGGGCCTCCTCTAGTTTTGGGTCTCCTATCTTTTCCTCCATTATCCTCCAAACTTTTAAAGTCTCTTCTTTCCAGTTCCTAGCTACAATTCCTTTTCCTGTTCTAATCATTTGTGAAGAAATTGCACCATCTGTGTTTATCTTATACACACCCTCCATTGGTGGTATCCAGCTTCTAAGTTGCTGATTGGGAATTGTTTCAGCAATGCCTTTTCTGCCTTCTTGTTCCTTAGCTTCCTTGAATTCCATCCATTCTTGCTGAGCTTTTCTCACAATGTTGATTTCCTCCATTTTTGAATTGTTGAACCTAACCTTGTTCCTTGCTTTCTCGATTTGCCAAAGAATGTTGATTGTTAACTATATGTGCTCCTGGCCATTAACTCTTTGCGTTGCATCTAACAGTCCTTCCCGCCATCTCCAAAAATTTGCTTGTAGGACTATTAACCCATCCTAGTTGAGTGGACTGAGTTTCCAAATCTTTTTGGCATAATCACAATAAAAAAAGAGGTGTTCCAGAGTGTCAATTGCATCCCCACAGCTTGTACATATATTGCTTCCTTTCCCTATCCTTCTGTGCACCACTTCATTAACTAGAAGACAATTCTGCAAACATTTTCGTATAAAGTGTTTCAATTTGTGTTTGACGTTTGTTCCCCACACAGTCACACTTTTTTCTACAAGCTCTTTTTTCTATTATGGCTACTTATCTGCTCCTTGATCTGCACTGTTTTTGCAACCTGTGCCACCATTTCCCTTGCTAATACGTAATCAGATTTCACTATGTACACTCCAGTTTTGGAGTTGTTCCAAACTAGTCAATCCCTTTTCTGGTGTATGCTGAGTGGAATGTTTGCAATCTTCTGAGCCTCCTCTTTGCTAAAGATTCTGTTTAGTAGCTCTTTGTTCCATTGTCCTTGTCTAATCAAATATTTGACATACTAGACCTCAGCTTGTGGTGCTCTATTTGGTTTCACTTTCCCATTTCTTGAGTTTGGTATCCATCAATCATGCCAACTAGGGATGGGTACGGGTCAGATACCCGCTCCTAACATGATTTGACTGACCTGACCCTAATATATCGGATCAGCAATTTTGCGACCCTAACCGACTCCTAATATTTTTGAGTACCCGAGTAATGTGCGGGTACTCGAAAAAATGGGTGGGTCATAGGGTACCCGCCCCTAAAAAAACTATTTTTCAATAAAAGAAATTGCTTTCCACTTAATATCAACATGTTTTCCAATAAAAAAACCTGCTTTTCAATTAATATTGATGGAAATATTGTAATCAAAGTCCATACATCACCATTCTCACACATTTCATCCAACAGTTAAACAGATCTCATAAATTTTGTACATATTAGAATTATAATATCCAATAGACAAAATGAAATTTCTTGATAATTTTGAATACATCACCGTTCTCGCACATTTTATCTCTCTACAAAACAACACACATAAGAATAATAACTTTTTGGCAACTTTCCCAGCTTCCTTAAGGATGTTATGGTGCAAGACTGCATTCCAAATGAGTTGACGGTGGAATCAAATCCGAAAAAGAATTGAACAGAGCTAATTATTTTTAGAGAAAGTATAACTAAAATAATCTTGAAAAATCTTCCCCAACTTCCTTACATCTTTGGAATAGACCTTATGGCATTAAAGGTGATAAAAAAAATAAATTTTTGCACTAAAATAAAACGACAAATTTAAGAGATATAATTGCAATAAAATATATCAAATAAATAAATAAATGAAAGACACAAATATTTTAATTATCTAGCTAACAGAAAATTGGAGCTCAAACACAAATCTTTGATTGAATTGATGAAAAATTTGCAGGAAAGATTGATGAAGGTAGAATAAAAATAAAAAGAATAAAAGGGATGGACAATTTTTATGATAGAGTTTTCACAATTTTTTTTTTCGTTTTGTTCATTTGGTTTAGGCTTCACCGAGAATATTCGCTTTCATCAGACAAGATGAGGAGAGCCGGATCAAATGGAATTAAAATATGAGACTATGAGCCACTTCACTTACACTTAGGATTAAAAATTATAAAATTGTAAAATAACCCTAATTTTTTGATATTTATATAATATACCTTGCGAGTTGGGTACCCGCCGGTTTTATTTTTTTGATCCGTATCCGTATCCATTTTTTGCGAGCACCTGACCCTCATCCGCCCCGCTAAGAAAAATCAAATCGGATATCCTATTTCTCATATCGGATTGGATCAGGTTCATTGGGTTTTCAGATCGGCGGGTTTTTTGCCCACCCCTATGCCAAACCATGATAGTGCTCCCATCTCCAACTTGTTTGTGATCCCATTAACCAATAGGAATCTGGCACTTAGTAGACTTTTCCACAAGTATGAAGCTGATTTAGGAGCTTCCCTCACTCAATCTTGTTCTCTTTTCAAATATTTTGCTCTAACTACTCTGCTAACAAGCATGTTTGGATGTACAATTATTCTCCAAAGCTGCTTTGCTAGCAAAGCTATGTTGAACACTTCCAAATCTCAAGTCCAAGATTTGAATTATGAACTTGGTTGTAAGAAAGATTCTAAGAACTCTTCCTTTGACCATTGAGCCAACCCCTAATGGTTCAATAAATAAGGTTAAAAAATGGAAAACACTATATACATACATATATACGATAAACACATAAATATAAACATATATAAATACACACACACATATATATTGAATTGAATCAAATCAAACTTTGAAATTGTCAGGCTTGATTCAAAATTTTGGGCTCGAATCCTATACAAGCTTAAAATTTAAGCTCGAGTTTGATTCGAATATTCGGTAGATTTGAATTAAATATGAGAGCTCGAGATTTTATTAATTTTTATATTTATTATTATTTTAATAATAAATGGATTATTACATATAAAATAGTTATATATATTAAATAAAAAATTTTATTCGAGCGTTACCGAGCCAGATGTTTACAAGTCCATATTCGATTCGATATGTTAAACAAATCCTAAGATTGATTTGAATTCGAGTTCAAGCTGGTTCAAAATCGAATTCAAATCTAACATTTAACGAATAGAGCCAAAACTATTCATTAACAGTTTGGTTTGTTTACAGTTGTATGTGTGAACGCATCATGTTGCTGTTTGTTTGCACGCATACATGTCAAAAATGCACCTACTTGTCTATACACTCAAAACTATTAAAACCATTAAATATTTGCAAACGTCACTTTCCATGCTTGGACTACAATTTAACACTTTCCATCCATGCGTATATCTATTACTTCATGTCTTCGTTAAAGATAAAATTTTTATACTTATCCTATTGAAAATCTAAAAAAAAATTCCAAATGAGGAAGAAAATCTGAAAAATATTTAGACAATTAAAAGTTGCCATATTAGCCTTCTTTATTGAAATGTTTGCTCCCTCACAGCTGCATCTTGGCTCCGCTACTGCATGCATGCCTATATATATTTGCCTCTAGGTTCCTCAACCTTTCACCTACATAGATATACAGCATCAATATTTCAAAGAGCAATGCCTCAACGAATTCCATATCCACCCTGTTTTTCCGGCTGCAGCAAACGCGAGTGTTGCACCCCCCGAGGTTAGTCAACCGCTATTCACAAAAAATGCTGCTAGACTCGAGCACCAAGAATTGGTATCTTGGGTTGTAGCAAAATCCTTTGGCTGGGAGTTTCTGAGAAAGAGTTGAAAACTCTTCATTTCTATTGAAATGATTTAGTAGTCCCAAATCACTCCATCTTCTACGCTTGATTTATCTCAACAAATTCGTCAAATAATAGTCCAATGTTCCCCCAAAACAACCAAAAAAAAAAAATGATCCAATGTTTGTCAAATACTTCATATGTTATTTGATTTTAATATGATTCTTTGAGAATGAATAGATTCTTGATTAACAAAAAGCATATAGCAAACTCAAATATTCTGATATAAATTTCAGAATTTTCTCTGCTGATCATCATCTTCATCTTCTTCTTCTTCTTTTTTCAAAAAAAATCGCCACCCCATAAAGTAAGTTTTGTGATCTTTCCATTTGGTTTGGTTTTGGTCTCCAACATCCTTCTTAGTACTCAATGGAAATTCTAAACAAATATTTTGATGCAGCTTACAAATATGAGTGGCCTGAATTGAAGGGAGCGAATGGACAGCATGCAAAGGCAGTAATCGAGAAAGAGAACCCATACGTCACAGTTGTGCCTGGTCATAGTCGATTTATACTTGCAGATTTTTGCTGCAATCGTGTTTTTGTTTTTCTGGATGAAAATGACAATGTCATTGTGGGCCCCCGGATTGGATAAGAAAATCACTAGAAGAAGAGGCAAAGAGGAAGCTCCTCCAATGGTTGAAGAATGAAAATTTAGCATGATTTTATAATGTCATGCATCCAACTCTATCATCATCATTAAATAAAGCTTCAATAAATGTTTGCTTCAAAGCTGCTTTCACAGCTGCTTCAGATTTTAATTACTCTATGTGGTGCATTACAATAACCCCTCAACCCCAAGATGTGGCTTCTGAACCAAAAAAAAAAAAAAAAGGTGAAAAGAATTGTACAAGAAGTAAAGTGAAAACATTATATTAAATCCTTTACACAAATTTAGATTTTAGAAAGGGGAAAATGATAGGAAAAACCCTTGGCAAAAATTTAGAACAACACAAACGTGAAGCAATATAAACACCGACATGCAAAAAGCTCGTATAAATGCAATATGTCAATAATTTAGATCATAAATGCATCAGGTCAATTTTAGCACCCCAAAAACAAAATTTTTTTGTAGGGTATGTGTCAAGTACTACACACAATTCACTATTTACCCAAAAAAAAAAACACACACACACACAATTTACTGGAAGCCACCTCTGGGGAGCTTAGTAAAATTGGTTAAAAATCTCAGAGGAGGTTTCTGAAATTATCCCTTTCATCAATACATTTCTATATATATAGGACACGGATCAGAATGTGGTAAAGTTTTGTACAAAGGTTTTATCATGAATTTAGTAGGAAAAGATAGATGAAAAAAAGCTTAGCAATTCCAATATATACTAAGTCAAAAAGATGCTAAAGTAGTTTAAACTAGAGTTCTAATATCATGTAGCTCTCCTTCTAGTTAGCAAACTCAGTTTTGTTATTATGACTTTGCCAGATAATTATGAGGTTCCTAATTCAGCTTCAAACTCTCTGATTTCTTGATGCCTAAATACTTCCTTGGGTAAATATATATATATATATATATATATATATATATATATATATATATGAAGAACTTCTTATAGCTTAATTTAAGATCCACCAAATCACCAACATTTTTCCTTAAAAAAATTTATATTTTCTGTGACTAGATTTTTAATTACTTTTTTACCTCTCATACATCAAATTATTATAGTATACATATATATATATATATATATATATATATATATATATATATATATATATATTTTAACAAAAATTTTAGAAAATAGCAATCCAAACAGATGTCAATTTTGGGACTTATTAACCATCTACGTTGCTGGTCGTCAGTCATACTGGGTAATAATTGTTTCCTCCGTTGAACAATTGAAGTCATCACTCATCATGTACAAAGTTAACTGGCGCAAATGCGTCATGATACGACGTCATACAAAATCAAATTTGCTGAAATCTTCTTATGTTTTTTTATGTGGAACACTATAGTCATGACAGCGCACACAATAATTATAATTATCAAAAAAAATTTTTTGTACTCTTCATATAGCAAAAAGAAGTTTCTTTATTAATTCTCGTGCTCCTACCCCTCCCCAAATCCTTTCCACTTCTAACTGTCAAGTCCAAAATTTTTTTGTCAAACGATAACATTTGTATCAATTTAAACTTGATAATACAAGTATACTTTACAAAAAGGGCAAGCTGCTCTCATAATCCTTTGTGCTGGATCTTTTATCCAGTTTGGAAAATTTGTATTTGAGGTTTTGGATCAAAGTTGTACTCCTGATTTACATATTGGACTTTTTAATGGATTTTTTCGAGATATTTCTCCCTAACAAGTGATATCAGAGTTTCTGATTGTGAGACTGGCCTACTCATGGGCAAGTGAATTTTTCTCAAAATTGGACCGGTGAAAATTTTTTTCTTGAAGATGGATCGAAATGCCAAAGTGCTAGGAAGTTTGGTTAATGTTGGATCAAGTACGCCATGAGTTTGGTAGAGGCGCCGGTTGGTGTTAGACAAAGGAGCCAAGCATTGGCAAGCGTCCAAAAATTCAGTTTGGCTCTTGAAGAAGAATGAGTCCATGATTGGGAGAAGAGATAATCTTAGATGATAAGGTGAGTTTGTGTTGAGTATTAAAGTGAGTTCGAACAATAGATTGTAAACTTGGGTTTAATGTGAGGGGTGTCAGGAACAACGATCATACGTTGTCGTTTTAGTGAGTCTAGTTAAACGAGGCAGTTGCAAGAGAAACGGTGTCGCTTTACTTTAAGATGTTAGTTAGTCGGTTGCATCAGGTTATAAATAAGGAGCTTTGTGATTGGTCAGGGTATCTGATTGTAATAACGAATTTCTGTTACATTCCTTCTCTTCTCTCTCATTCTCGATTCTCTCTCTCTTCTTCCCCCTTTTCCCTCCAATTTTCAAATCTGATCAACCAACCCTGACAAAGTGGTATCAGAACTACCGATCCTTGATAGCTCCTATGGCGGAAGGAACTCGCCTAAAACCCTTGGAAGAACACGTGAAGATGCAGGAAGCAAGACTACAAGAGGCTATGGAGGCATTTCACTCTTCTTAGCAGCAATTTCGAGCTGATTTTGGTAGTAAGGTCAGAGTAGAATTGGAGAATTCCAACATGAAGTTGGAGAAACTGGAGCCGGGGATGAGTGGATTGGAGCTGAAATTCAACTCCTTCCCACAGATGATGATGAACAGAGAAAGGAGCACTGCGGAGGAGGCGAGAGAAGGACCACTGCTACCTACTCCACCGCCTCAACATAGGATCAACAAGGGAGGCGAAAGCAATGGTGACTTCACCAGAAGAGATGAAGGTAGGATATATGCACCTCTTCCTCCTAGACTAGAGTTACCTCTTTTTCATGGAGAAAATCCACAGGAATGGCTAAGAAAATGTAATAAGTATTTTCTGAACTATTATATTTCTGAGAATCAGAAGGTAGAGGTAATTGAGATGTTTTTAGAGGGAAGGGCAGATAAATGGTTTCAAGGCCTTAAGATGGAAAGGACAAGCCTCAATTGGATAGAATTTGAGGAATTTTTGTGCAAGAGGTTTGGTAACAAAATTTGTAAAGATATAGTGGAAGAATTTAACAAAATCTAGCAGGTTGGGAGTGTGAAGGACTATCAAGAAAAGTTTGAGGAGCTCAAGCCATTAATGCTGATGAAAAATCCCCAATTAGATGAAGGATACTTTGTGTCTAGCTTTATTAGTGGACTTAAAGAAGAAATTAAACCAATCCTCAGAATGCTTTAAGCCTACAGAACTATCTGCTGCCTATGAAATGGCCCAACTACAGGAGTACTCCTTGCAGTTGCAGAACAGACAAGGAAGGGAAGTGCAGAAAAATCTAGTAGAAAATAAGTTCGGCCTGCATAAAAGTCAGCCCCCAAGCACCAACTCAGGCAATCTATATAGGATTTCCCCTGTTAACCAGCACAAGTTCTCCAATGCAAGAAGGATAGTTCTAGATAATAATTCCACTAGGAAAATTTCACCACAGGAAATTCAATACAGAAGGAACAATAGACTGTGCTTTAAGTGTAGGAAGAAGTATGGGGCAGGGCATCAGTGTAAAATGGGACACCTAAACTTCTTCCTTGGGGATGAAGAAGAGGACACGAAATTTGAGGATGCAGTAGGGAAACAAGATGAGCACACTGGAAATCCAGGAACTGTTATGGAAATGTCCTTACACACTATCAGAATCTCTCAAAAGAAACACTATCACAATCACAGGGCATCTAGATGGAGAGAAGGTGCTAATCCTAGTGGATACAGGGAGTTCTGACAGCTACATTGACAGTGAGTTGGTCATTGCTCTAGATATTCCTTACAGAATGGTTTCCCCCTTCTCTGTTATTGTGGGGAATGGAACATGTGTAACCAGCAAGGCCATTTGCCCAAGGGTCAGATGGGAAGTCAATCAACATCAATTTGGCTTTGATTTGAAGGTGATGCAACTGAGTGGCTGGCATATTGTGCTAAGAGTGGATTGGATGACTCATTTTAGCCCCATCACGTTTGATTTCCATAATCTTAGGATCTCTATGGAGTATCAAGGGGAAACAGTTCATCTACAAGGGAGTTCAGAGGATTGTGAGTTGGATTTAATCAGGGGCAAGGACCTTAGGCATTTCATAGAATATAAGAAGAGATGCTTTGCTATCAGAACCATGGAAGCAGACATGCCCCTCGCAGGAGCCTCAGAAGAGACAAGAGAGAAGCAGCAACCTCAGGAAATCAAAGATTTGCTGGAAGAATTTTCAGAAGTTTTTCAGCAGCCTGTGTCCTTACCGCCTATCAGGGCATGTGACCATGCAATTCCCTTGATGTCAGGGGCTCAACCATTCAAGCTTAAGCCCTATAGATACCCCCATTCTCAGAAGGATAAAATTGAGAAGCAGGTTACAGTGATATTACAACATGGAATTGCAAGGCACAACAACAGTCCATTTGCATCACCAGTTTTACTGGTTAAGAAGAAGGAAGGTTCTTGGCGATTCTATGTGGACTACAAGAAGCTGAATGAAATCACCATCAAAGATTGCTATCCCATTCCAAATGTGGACGAGCTGCTGAATAAGTTGGCTGGATCCAAGTATAAGTCTAAGCTGGACTTGACTGTAGGTTACCATCAGATCAGGGTCAAACCTCAAGATGTGCACAAGACAGCATTTCAAACTCATTGTGGTCATTATGAGTTTTTAGTCATGTCTTTTGGGCTGACTAATACTCCTGCAACTTTTCAGTCCTTAATGAACCAAGTTTTTCAACCTTATTTGAAAAAATTTGTTTTAGTTTTCTTCGATGACATCCTGATCTATAGTAAGACGTGGGAACTACACTTGCAACACCTAAGGTTTGTGTTGACTGTGCTCAGGGAGAATCAGTTGTTTGCTAAAAGCTCTAAGTGTTCATTTGCACAGACTAGAGTGGATTATTTGGGACACACCATCTCAGAGGAAGGAGTTAGCATGGATTCTTCCAAGGTGAGCAGTATTGTAACCTGGCCTACACCCAAATCAATGAAGGATTTAAGAGGATTTTTTGGACTCACAGGGTACTACAAAAGATTCATTAAAAGTTATAGGATCCTGTGTAGACCACTGACTGAACTACTGAGGAAGGATGCATTTGTTTAGACTGACACAGCTCAGAAGGCTTTTGACTTGCTCAAAAGAGTAATGACCACAGCTCCAGTACTCAGGTTGCCTGACTTTAAACAGCCATTTGTAGTAAAAACTGATGCGAGTGGAGGGGCAATTGGAGCTGTGCTCATGCAGGAGGGACATCCTATTGCATTTCTCAGTAAATCACTGAGTTCAAAGAATTTAGGGCTGTCTGCCTATGAAAAAAAATTGCTGGCATTGGTAATGGCGATGACAAAATGGAGACATTACCTAGTAGGCTACCACTTCATCATCAGGACTGACCATCAGTCTCTAAAATACTTGCTGGATCAGAAGTTGACAACAGCGATACAGCACAAATGGTTAACCAAGCTTCTGGGACTGGATTATGAAATTCAGTACAAACAGGGCAGTGAGAATTTGGTAGCTGATGCCCTTTTCAGGAGAGCTGCAATGGAAAGTGGGAAGGAGAACGAGACGGGCACTTGCCTGGCTTTAACTACTGTTAAACTAGTGTGGATGACAGAACTAGTCAAAAGCTATGAGCATGACTCTCACTGTCAAGAGTTAATTGCCAAGATGATATTAGAACATGAATTTCCATACCAGTATCAATTGAGTGATGGTATCATCAGGTACAAAAGGAAACTCTATGTGGGGTCAAGCAATGGAGTCAGGGAGGAAATCATAGAAGCCCTGCACTCTTTTTCCATTGGAGGCCATTCAGGACAAAGAGTGAGTTGGCACAGGATCAGCAGTATATTTTATTGGCCTGAATTGAAACAGGATGTTAGGAGGTTTGTGCAGGCATGTGATAACTGTCAGAGGAATAAAGCTGAGCACATTCAGCATCCTGGACTTCTACAGCCTCTTCCTATACCCAGTCAAGCATGGACACACATCTCTATGGACTTCATAGAGAAACTACCACATTCACAAAACTTTGATACCATTCTGGTGGTTGTGGATCGACTCACCAAATACAGTTACTTCTTGTTGCTTGTTCATCCCTTTTCAGCCAAGCAGGTGGCACAAGTTTTCATTGATCAGGTGTATAAGCTCCACGGATTGCCTGAAACTATAGTTACAGATAGAGACAAAATCTTTACTAGCCACTTCTAGAGGGAGTTAATTCGATTGGTGGGGGTGAAATTGTGTTACAGTTCTGCATACCATCCAGAGACAAATGGTCAAATTGAAAGAGTTAACCAGTGTGTAGAGGCATATTTGAGGTGTATGACTGGAGAATTTCCCAGTCAGTGGAGTAAGTGGCTTCCCCTAGCTGAATGGTGGTACAATTCTGCTTATCACTCAAGCTTGAATGCGACTCCCTTTGAAGCCCTCTATGGCTACAAGGCATTACCCTTACCAATGGGTCCCTACTGTGACTCTACCATTCCTGCAGCAGCTCAAGCACTCCAGGACAAAATGAGGATCTCAGCCAGTATCAAGGAGCATCTGCTCAAGGCTCAGCAGCGAACAAAATATTTTGCAGATAGGCATAGAATTGAGAGAAGTTTCGAAGTTGGGGATTTAGTGTTTCTCAAGCTGCAACCATATAGGCAGCAAACCATGGACATTTGAAAGAACCTCAAGCTATCAGCAAAATTCTATAAGCCTTTTGAAGTGGAAGAGAAGATAGGAGAAGTTGCTTATAAACTCAAATTGCCCCCTGTAGCTAGGATACACCCAGTGTTCCATGTTTCCCTACTGAAGAAGAGAATTGGTCCACCACAGCAAGTCTCCACTACCTTGCCAGAATTCGATATGCAGGATCAATGCCCCTTGATGCCAAAAATGATTCTGAAGAGACGAGCTATTCTAAGGAAGGGAATGCTTGTGATATAATACCTGATCAAATGGCAACAATTGGAGTATGATGAAGCATCCTGGAAAGATAAGGATTTCATGGAGCAACAATTTCCTGAATTCAAGACTTGCGGACAAGTCTAAACTGAAGGAGGAGGCAATGTCAGGAACAACGATCATACGTCGTCGTTTTAGTGAGTCTAGTTAAACGAGGCAGTTGCAAGAGAAACGGTGTCGCTTTACTTTAAGATGTTAGTTAGTCGGTTGCATCAAATTATAAATAAGGACCTTTGTGATTGGTCAGGGTATCTGATTGTAATAACGAATTCCTGTTACATTCCTTCTCTTCTCTCTCATTCTCGATTCTCTCTCTCTTCTTCCCCCATTTCCCTCCAATTTTCAAATCTGATCAACCAACCCTGACAAGAGATTACTCATGAAAGAGGAAATTTGTTAGGTTTATGAGTAAAAGACTATGTTTCATATTTGTTCAAGAAGCGAAGAAAGAGCGGTTAATATGTAAGTATGGACCCGAGACCTAACAGTTTAAGTTTTTGGGTTAGAGTTGGATTCCTGACTTACATATTGAGTTATTTGATGGATTCTCTTGAGTTGTTTCTCCCTAACACATCATTAATTAGTTTCAAAGCAAATTTTGCTAGCCTATGACACAACTCATTATTTGCTCTCTATATATAAAGGAGAAATTGCATTGGTCAAAAAACTTCCTCAGCTCTTGTATATCCTCCAGTACCATGGCACAATTGCAGTCAATGCAGGAGCCTATTGTAATGCAGTCTATCACACTTTTCCAGTCAGACTGTATTTCGATCTTCCTCCAACTTGCTTCTTTTCCCAATTGCATAGCTATTCTGATTGCCAGGGCCTCCTCTAGTTTTGGTTCTCATATCTTTTCCTCCATTATCACCCAAACTTTTAAAATCTCTTCTTTCCAGTTCCTAGTACATTTCCTTTTCCGGTTCTGATCATTTGTGAGGAAATTGCAGCATTTGTGTTTATCTTATACACACCTTCCATTGGTGGTTTCCAGCTTCTAAGTTGCTGATTTGGAGTTGTTTCAGCAATGCCTTTTCTGCCTTCTTGTTTCTTAACTTCATTGAATTCCATCCATTCTTGCTGGGCTTTTCTCACAATGTTGATTTCCTCCATTTTTGAATTGTTGAACCTGACCTTGTTCCTTGCTTTCCAGATTTGCCAAAGGATATTGATTGTTAACTCTACGTGCTCTTGGCCATTAACTCTTTGTGTTGCTTCTAACAGTCCTTCCCACCATCTCCAGAAACTTGCGCAATAACCAAACAAATTACAACCTATAATGGTTTCTTACATCGGCGGTGATCCAATGCCGGAAATGCCCCTTGCAACGGCCTCTTCCCAGCTGAACATTCTGGAAAAATTTGAACTCCGAAACTGCGGCAAAAAATAAAATGAAAAAGAACAGAAGAAGATATGTATGAAGCGATAAATCAAATAGTAAGTAATTTTTGATTGAGCAAAAATAATTTTTAATTATTGATTAAAACTACCAAAAAAATTCTTAAAAATTGAATGTGCTGACGAACCAAGCGGCTTCCATCTGCGCATTTTAAACTATTTATGAAAAAATTTCTAAGAAGTGCTGCTGGACTCCAATCTGGGTGTGCACATTTAAGATGTGCTGCAATACCAGCACCGTGAGGACAAGCCATGGAAGTACCAGAAATAAGATTGAGGTCATCTGAGTTGGACAAGCCAATTTTGAAGCCAATGTTGGATACGCTACCATCTGGTATCCAGGCTTCAGCACGGTTCATTTGCAATAGTCGTCCTTCCTTCATAAAACAGCGACCGTGTTTAACAAAGAGACAGAAAAAAAAAAAACTGTGGGCTGTAGAAGAGGGGAAAGAAATCAAGAATGGCAGTTCGTCTGCAGCTTTTTGCTCCAAGCAGGTAAATACTAAATATAACTCTTTCTTAACTACCCAGAAAGATGTAGTAATTGTGAGTGAAGAGTTTCTTAATTGGTGATGTTTAATTTTTGGTGGGGCGCGGAAATGTTATATTTGTCAGTGTAGCAAATGAAGTGATTTGGAGGCATTTCTCATCAGAAACAATTTCTAGACTCAGTACAGAATCATTTAACAAGGCCCACAAGATTGATAAAGATGATGGTGGTGGTGGTGGCTGCCTCAAAACACGGATTTTAAAGCTTGTGTACCCACGGCGGAGCGCCACTTCTGTGCTGCAGAATTGGGTTCTCATTCTCTGAGCTCCGTTGCATATCCAGGCGACTGCTGAAACGGCAGCGTTTCAAGCACGCCCTGGAGGTCCTTCATGCTTAATGCTTTTACTACTACTTAGGCTTTCTTGCCTTCTTGTTTATGTTCCCATTTTTTCCCTTTACTTGTTTCCCTTTTTTTATTTTGTACATTTCGTAATTGTGGTGTCAATGTTGATGCTTTTCCTAGTAACGCAAAATTTGGAAGAATTGAAGCTGAGATTGCTAGATTCTAGGACGGCTTTGGTGTAATTAAACATGATTGAAAAGGGAAAATGAGTTTCTAAGTTTTTGGTTTTACGGTAGATTCTCTGCTGTTCTGCAATTTCTAGATTCATGTTTGCCGTATGGCCGGTAGAACTTTGCTGCTGGGATGGATTACCTGTATGATTATCTTGACAGATGCTAATTTCCTTGGCTTGGATCCCTTTCTGCACATGAAATACAGACATGAAAGGTTGCTTTTGGTAGTATTTGCAGGGTGAATGCCGAGATCGAATTTCATTCTTTGACCTTGTACGCCTTGTACTAAAATGCTTAAAACTCAGTGAAATGCAATCTCTTTGTTTGAGAGGTGATTTTGGTGGTTGTAGTGGCACTGATGCTACACATTTACTCTGGTTTTCATGTTAATGTGAGAGTACAAGTGCAAGAGACAGGCTATGTATATTTCTCTTTTTCCCTATTGTGGGGTTTAAGTCAAGAAATTCGATGCAGGAAGTAAAATGTTCTTTTGCAGATATTCACATGGATGGAGGCTAAAGAAAGATCTCGAATGTCTGCTGCTGATCATGCATTGAGGTTGGAATTGACGATTACAGTGCACATTGTAGAGAAAGCTGAAGAGCATTTTGAAACTTTGCTTGACACTGTTTCTAACAAAGCTGCCAGTCTCCCTCTTTTTCACTCTTATGTTAAAGAAAGGTCCACTGAGAAGGCTGAGGCTTTGATGCAGAAGATGAACAGCTTGGGACTAATTGTAAACCCCATCCATATAACGAGATGATGAAGCTTTACATATCAACATCTCAACATAAGAAAGTGCTCGCTGTCACAGTGCAGATAAAACAAAATCGAATACAAGGAACTGTTGAGCTGTTGAGCATGCTAAATTACAGAAGTACTGATCGCTGCTGCAGCTGTTCCAACTGGTAGCAAATCATGGCATTTCAGCCTTGAACATCTGGAGAAGCTCTGACACTATAAGAGAGACTTCAGCGCTTGCGAAACATTTTGGGTGATTCGATCATGTATTGGCTCCTGCATGAACACGTCCAAGTCACATATCGGGCTTCTAATCTAGTAACCTTGAGATAACAAATCAGTCATTACGATTTTACCTTTGCTGTAGGTATTTCAAAACTTGAATCTGTTATTGTCTCGAACAAGAATATATATCTGTCATTAGAAGGAAATATCAGTAATATGTGGTCACAACTAATAAACTCTGCAAACGTCTTCACTCCATCGAGAAAAACTAATAAGAAATGACTATATACGCCATTATGAGCCAAAATACAAAAAGGTGAATAAATGAATAACACACCGCCAAGCTAATTCAGAAACCAGTTCTTCTGGAGCATCAGGCAAGACCTAAGCAAGGATATAACCATTTTCAGTTCTGATGAGTAACTTCAGTGGGAATAGTCATTCGAATGATACACAAAAAACTAATTTAAATAGAATAACCTTATCTTCATATGGGTTGCAATGATCATTGAACCATAGCCTCAAGAACTCCTGGGAAAGATTTAGTATTAAAATATGCGAGTCAGAATGCTATAACATCTCCAAGAGTGCCAGTATAATCTTGTATAAAAGAAAAAGCCAGTTACATGCACGTCATATATATATATATAGGCACACTTAATTTGGGACAAATGACTTCTTCTATTATTGGAATGTTGATTTTGCTTTTCGGATTTTTTCACCTTCATAAGGTTCTGCTTTTAATTCCAACCTTTTTCCCCCCTCAAGGCATTACCTTGTCAACATTTTCTGGTTCAAGGCCATTCCAAAAGCGTTCTTGATAAGAATGACCAATCCAATATCTACTCGAGTCTGGAGTATGCACCTTCAAAAGAAAATCAAAACACAAGACTGTGTTATAATTACACATGAAAATGTGTGGGAGGGAGTGTATGAGAGAGAGAGAGAGAGATGCACAGGACACACACAAACACAAGCACTTTCACAAGCGCAGAGAGAGAGAGAGAGAGAGAGAGAGAGAGAGAGAATATCAATTACCTCATCAACCAAAAGCACAGTACCATCAGGTGCTTTTCCAAATTCATACTTGGTGTCTACCAATACGAGGCCATGTTTCATTGCCACGTGCTGCAGTTAATTATGGGAAAAAAAATGGATAAGGAAAGGAGAATTTATATGCCAATAGCAGCTCCACTTGACCACCCCTTGATCATGCTATCATTTTCTCAAATACTTCCTAGTTTGTACAAATGATCACAATGCTTAGAATTCTTAAGGAGGCAGTTCTTCTAATAAATATCCCTTAACAAATGATCACATGAAAAAAAAAGAGACAAATTTCCCTTAAGAAAAGCCAAAACTTAATTACCTGACCATATTCAAATAACTGTAGTGCCCTCTTACTTGCTTCCTCGTAATCTGCTCGAGACATTAAACCACATTGAATTATCTGAGATACAAAATTTTCAACACAAATAAGCAGTATGATCTATTATTTGGTTACGACTAAAGAAAAGGAAAACAAACAATGCTCATTAATATGTTGCCCAAATTGAGGGCAAAACTGAAATTTTTTTTCACAATGTCCCGCACGACATCATTAGCAGGTGCATTGTACAGATAAAATAGAACTTCCATATGTAGGGTGCTCAACATGAGATAGACCTTTTTTTATGTAAAGCAAGGCAATTCATTCAAATGCAATTAGCCATTATTCTCTCTACTTTATTACACTAGAAATTAACAGAATATATACACATGCCTAATGAATGACAAGTTCTATTTAGTAAATGAAAACCTCATCCGGAGTCACAGGAACATCATGATCAGCAGCTTTAGTAGTAGGTGTGAGAATATTTTCTGATAGCTTTTGATTTTTCACCATTCCTGTTATACATTCATTGAAGAATCATAAAAACCAAAAGTTACACAGAAGATGGAATTGATACAGTAAGTAACATGTCGCACCATCAGGAAGTACATTGCCACAGTAATTCCGAACTCCCTTTTTGTAGACAGCCCACAATGATGTATCAGTACTTCCAGTCACATAACCCCTAACTAGAAAAAGAAAACAATCAACAAGTGAATTAGTTTGTGACTCAATATGGAAATGAGAGCCACTTCGAGTCCAAGACTACCATATAGTATCATACTGTTACACAAACACGTAGTTGGAGACAAAAAAATTTGCAGAATATTGCATAAAAGGAAAAAATGTGTAAAAACTAAAGGTAAAAATATCTCACCAACAAATTCAATAGGAAATATTGAACATTTCTTTGCGATGGTCACATTCTTATCTGGTGCAGACACCACTGCATTTGGAACAATGTGCTGAGTTTTATTAAACCACCACAAACTTGTCTCATTAAGCACCTGCAGCAAAACACTCGTTAGCCTCAACCAATAATACGTATTCTTCTGCTTTAATCAAAAATTTTTCTGTATGTTTAGAATCATGTACCTGCCCCTTGAAGGGGACTGAAGCAAGAACTCTGTCAAATGCACTTTGCCGATCTGTTGTTACCAGCACAAGATAATTTCCTCCATCATAAATGTCCCTAACCTTCAAAGTAAGTCAAATGATCATTTGAGTATCAACTATACGAAAAAACTGAAGAGCAACTATGTTATCAGAGAATCCGCTGATTCTACCTTTTCACACCCAAAAACAATCCAGCAAAGCATTTCCCACGACCCCCACCCCCGGGCCCCCTGGGGGGCCAGCCGCTGATGAAGTGTTCAACAGGGTTAACCTATCTTTACTCTCACTCGCAACAACCAACACACAAAATAAAATTTAAAAAAAAATCTTCGCAGCTCTCCCAAACTAAATGACACACTTTTCTTACTCCCTTTTCCAACATTCATCAATAAGTGAACTAAGCATAGCAACAGAGACAAAAAGTAAGATATATGATTATGCACCTCATAACGAACACAAAGTCCATCGAGATTCAAAAAATACAAAAAAGTACAATTAAAAAAAAAAGAATCACAAGATTACCCTAAACAAAAAAATCGAGTAAAGAAAGGATTTTGGAAATAGTTACCTTGCCTCTGGTTTTGGATTTAAGACCAGGAACGGTTAAATCAAGATGGGTTTCAAATAAACAATTGTTTAATGAGCTATGGATAGCATTCAAGACTTCATTTCTGCGTTCACTGGTTTTCAAAGACTCAAGAGAAGGTGGCGGTTGGTGCTGCTGGCTTGATGACATTGATGCAGAGATACAAATTGATGGAGGAAGGCACTTCTTGGATTTTGTTAGAATGAATTTACGCAAAGAAGATGATGAGAGGGATGAAGGGTTTGAATGGTTGATTGGTATGCATTTTGGCTTGAGGGTTTTGGATGGGTTCAAAACTCCTCCTAAACAATTCTGGGCCATTTTCTTTTCGAAAGCGACAGAACTCCGAACTCTAAAGTCTCAAGCTTCTTTTCTTTTGGAGGGGTTTCCGTTTTCAAACAGGTCTACAATAATTGAAGCACCCCCGAAAATTTATAGCAGTCTGAGGCACCGGAAGCTGCATCAAGTCCCAGACAAGAGGGTGCAGATATGTCAGGATTTTGTTTATGTAATTTGAATTAAAGGAATGATTAATCTGGAGGTACGATTAGTGTACCTATGGAATGTATGGACACAAGGTGCAGGTACGATTGTTGAACCTATGGATGTATCCTTCTTGTAGTTACTAGCACAAGTCTGTGAAAGTAGGTAGATCAAGAGTTGTCCATATTTATCTTGGTGATGCTTAACAATAATTCACACACATGTCTAATAGCACCTATAAAATTCTTTACATAATGTAAAAGGATCCGACAAAAATGGAAAAGATACATACCATATTTCCCAACAATACCTGCCTTCTTAGTTCTCTTAGTCTGCAAAAATTAAACAAGCATGATGAAACCAGAGCTACAAAATTAATTTCGACAAGATTAACAAATAAAAAACTTATGAAAGAAAGCTGCAATCAGCAATCTATGCACAAAACCATGACACTATTTTTTTTTTTAACAAACGACCATATAACATATAATAACACCACAACATGCTACAGCAAGAACTTCCCATGATTCATTTCCTTAATGCCAAAAATACTCCGGACAAAAACCAATCACAAAAACCCTCCAAGCTAAAACGACCACATCAAGAAAGCACCTAAAGTTGACTCTTTACTAATCTTCCAGATTTTAAATACAGATAATTACTATAAATTTTTTTGAAAGTTCCAATCCAAGAAACTTCAGCACCTAGTGAAACAACAAATATAGTTTTCCTCCCCCATCTACAACCCCCCCCCCCCCCCCGACCCTATTCGCATTGGCCATCTTAAAAACGGATAAATTGAAGATAACTGAAGAAAGAAAGACAAAATACCTATACTTATCCCATGTTAGAGCAAATGAACAAATCATAATAGCACTAACAAGTAATTAAGTCGAAAAGGAAAAGGTTAAACTTTCGATTTATTAACCAAATCCTGATAATAATCAGAGATATTGAGAGCTAACCATGTTGAAGAGCTGGGAAGATTCACCGCAGAGACGAGGGCTTTTTTCTTTCAATAGGAAATTAGTTCGACCCTTTAGAGGGGAATTCTTCTTGTTGAAAGCGGCAGAATCAGCTCACTGACTTACTACCTTGATTCACTCCCGGACTACCTTTTCAAGATGAGAAATAGGAGTAGCTCGACCAACCCTTGAACCTCACCCTCGGAACGAATGCAACAGAGTCAAAGCTGCGGTAATGCCCAGTCTTTCAAAAGAATCACTCTCCCGTACTCTGTGTTTCTGGGTCTGCTTAGCTAATGTAGGCGTAAGGACTTTTGATCGGATGCTTCCATCTTTGCTGAAGGATGAAGCAGCAAAACCCTAGACTCCATTTGCAGTCAGATAAAACCCCAATTGTTTGGCTAATTAGATTTTATCGGCCGTCCATATTATCGAGTTAAACCTTATTTTGGGCCGTCGCAGTTTGCCCGATTGCCACGAACTGGAGGGTGGCTCGTTCTTGTTTGTTGGACCTATATTCTCCGCCAGCGGCCGAAAATTTCCAATCGGCATTTGCCATTTCCACTAAGCATTTGATTTGATCTTTCAGCTGGCGTTTGGTTCGCATGTCGGATTCGGATATCTTGGGTTTGAAATAAAGTGATTCATTTTAATATATCTGTTTGATTTAAGTACCTGAAATGTGTATCATTACTATAATTGATATTTGGTTCGTCGGCTCTTTCAGAATTAAATATAATAAATATATTATAAATCACATCGTAAATGATAGTTATTGATTCTTTGTAAATGGAATATAATAAATTTTCATTAATTAAATATATTAATATAAATATATTAGTGAATTTAGTATAACTAATTAATAATTTTTATTAGTAAACATGTATAATTATTAGTATAATTGATAATATCAATTATATTACATAAATTAATATACATTATATAATACATATAACTAATAATAATATTATTATAAGCTTATAACTAATTAAATTAAATATTATATATATAATTAAATATAAATATACAAATGTTATAATATAAATATATAATTATAATTATATAATATATACAAATATTAATTATACTAATATTTTATATAAATATAATATATATTACATATTAAATATAGTTATTATTATATTTAAAATTATAATTATAATTATATAACTTATTAATATTATATACATGTATATATTATAATTATATGCACATATAATATACATTTATAAATATACATATATATTATAAATATATTATTATATAATATTAATAAATTTATAATATATATTATATAAATATAATTATATTTAACTAAATAATTATAATATATATTTATATAATATACTAATATTATAATAAAATATTATAATTATAATATATTATATATGTATGTATTATAATATAAATATAAATATATAGTTAATAAATAATATTTTTTTTTAATTATACTAAATATTATGTAATTATAAGATTTTGGAATCACACTTGGGTTTTAGACAAAACTCACCAACTTACTAAGGAATGGTGGAATGCTAAATTTTTAACTATCATTCCAAAATTTCAATTCCGATAGTAGTGAATCAAACATGAATCATGGGGTTTATTTCAATTCCCCATTCCGAAACCCTTTTACCAAACACCACATCAGTTTCATCATTTGTGACCCAAAAAAAAAAAAAGGTTATCATGTTACTTTGCATATTAAAGGGATGGATTTTGAATGAGCTTCCCAGTTAATCGATATATGTTGTATTTGTTTTCATAATTAATGTGTCTGTAATTCGTGTGCTATGCAAAAAGATTACAATGACAATTATATGTTTTAATTTGAAAAAATAAAAAATAAACAATCGTTAAAAGATACAAGTTGTAAATTTGATTTATCCAACAAAAACAAGCTACCATGAGACTCTTAGAATTTGAAAGTGTAATCCTATTTCTAGTTAATTATGTTTTAGTTTAGTCTTTTGTAGATCAACTGGAGCAGTTTAGCACGTGAGGATGTGTTTAAATTGTAATGCTGGTTACATGATATATTTTAATAATGGTATCTATGATAACAAACAGGTGGTCGTATGAATTGACCGATAAAAGAGGAGCGATTGTAAGTAGGAAATTATGAGTTCAAAATCTTCCATTAAAGAAAAAGGGTGCTCATATAAGTTTGGTAAGAATAAATGTCTCCAAATTGTTTTCTGTGCCTTTTATTCAAAATGATTCTAAACTACATGTCAAAAAAAAAATCATCTATGGTCTGCGACTATCTGAATTGTTCTCATGCAACCAAAGTTCTTTCAAATGTCCTCATTGAATATTTCTTGGTGGAGTATTTTTCCTCCAAACAATTGGAATGAGAAAATTTACTATTGAGGACGTCATGTCAATAAAAAGCGTCACACAAGATTGCAAAATTTTTGGCACTAATATATTGGCTGTCTTGATTTTTTTTTGCAGCTTTGCTATGCAAAATATTTTCTTTTGTAACTTTAAAGTTTCCCTTTTGGAATCATCCTTTAAAGGAAAAAGGGAACATACACCACAATCTACATCCATTGGAACGGGCAATGTGTTGCTGCCCCTCATCTTTTTACCACTTGATGCCTGCGAATTTGCACCAATGGAAAGCTGATAGAGATGCTCTTTGGGGTAGCTTGAACGGTCGCTCCTCCTTTTTATTAGGGTACGGCGACCTTCCTGACAATCAAAATTCGAGTCCCGCTGTTAACGCGTTCAGGAGATAAGGCCTCTCCACCAGGATGGGATTAGTCGGGTCCTATAAGAATTGACCTGGACACCCACTCTGTGATAAAAAAAAAAAAAAGGAAAGCTGATAGAGATAATTTAAAGGTATTCGGCAGCAGCCTTTTGCGTCTTCTTTTCTTTTGCGCCTTTAGGACTTCATGCTGTTCACCGTGATGGCCTATTAAGCCTTTTTCGTATGTTTGTCAGCATTATCGTTGGAGTGCTCGATTCATGTCACGCTACTATCTTTTATACTTAGCTTTATATGTCTCCTAGCATGAATATGCCACCAATTTAACATATTGGTATCATATAGGCATATATATTTTGGGATCTATATCTTCGCGGTGGTGGCATCTTGAGATAATAATTGATTTACGCTTTAGCTTGAAGATTTATTGAAGTGAGATTTGGTGGCGGAATTATAAAATTTAGTTTGAGGAGATGAAATGCATACACATATAAAATTTAGTTTGGTGTTTCATGATTAACCATGCAAAACACGATTTGGGCCCCTTAGAAATTTAGTCAAACACATATAGTATCAAATTATTTTGACACATGATGAATGAATAGAAATATAGGAGAAAATTTGAGCATCAAAACGATTAAAATTGGCAAATGTTATTTGAACCCTCATTTTTGCTAATCACACTTCCACGTTATTTTTATCATATAGTTTTTATTTATTGCAGGAATACAATTAACAAAATATGGAGTATAAATAAAATTTCCCTCAAAATTTGTTGTGAAGATAAATTCTATCTATAAAGTCAACCTCCCTATTTATTGTAATTTGAATAAAGATTTTTGAACCACCATTATGATGATACCTAAAAAGGATAGAGAATTAATGCACTATAAGTGCATTGATGTATTAATAGCAGTATAGTATTAGTTGTAACTAAACCAAAAGCAATCATAATACTTCTAGTATACTTTAATAATAAGAAAAAGTTTAGAAAGCCACCAAAACAGGGCACAATATTCAACATCAATATAGCTCACTATAAATTAAACTTTCATATTTTTCCTTCACATTATGGAAAATTAAACCTTTATTTTTTTTTTCCTTGTTTTGTCCTTTGTCTAACTTTTGTGGTAATTTTCCAGCAATCTCATAAATAAATATTCCTTCTAGTCCCCCAAGGCTATGAGTTTTGTTCAATTGAAAATTTTTTTTTTTTTAAGATCTTAGTGGAGATTCTGCATAGCATATCCTCAACTTCTATACTGTCAAAATCCATTATAATAATAAAAGACAAATTTGAGATTCACAAGTTGCTATTTTTATTATGAAAGTACCATCCTGCTATTGAAGTTTGTTGAATTAATCCTTTTTCCCCTCTTCTCTTGGCACATATATCTCCAACTGCAATAAACAGCTTAGGCAATAAAAGCGTTTTAATAACTCTCAAACTCCATTTGCACTCAAAGTTGTAATTTGGAAATTTTCAAATGTAGCACATTAGCTGAGTTTGGCATTTTATACATCCTCAACTTAAGCCACATTTCAACAATCATATAAAATCACTAAAAAAAAAAAAAAAAATTGGCACTACAGATGCTGTAATCGACAAAATTCTTATACACAAGACAACAAATCATTGCTCTGAACATTTTCCTTGGAGGTAGCAGAAAAGTCTAGCTTGAAGATGGATGGAAAATAGATGAGGCAAGAATAAGCAGCAGAATGCATTCTTACACCAACATGGTCTCATTTGAGGAATATAAGCACACGTACAAACGCAGCCATTTGTCGCTTCAGAACCTGCAGTCAGTCATGAACCAATGATTACAAGATCACGATCCTGACAGCTGACCCTTGAGCCTCTTCCATCGGCAAGCCTTTCTGTACAGTATGTGCTGTCAAAGATGGGTCCAAAGAATAAACTATCTTCGTCAGTCAGGAGGCATTCCCACCAGCCATCAGATTTCTTCTCACCAATGAAAATAAGCAATGGAGGGAAACAAAATCGACCACCTCCAGTGTTACATGATTGAAATCCAAAAGTAACATATGCCGTACATAATTACAATATCCTCATATTGATACAACATAATGCAAAATTTTACCACTGACCCTTTATGGAACCCCAGAAAGATGTTTGAAATGAATCCAACAAATGAACCAGTCCTCCTGCATCGCCCTCAATATAAGGAAGCTTTCATATGCTTTCACTTTGAGTCAATTTTCATGAATTCAATCTCTAACAGAACTCAAGCTCATAATATCCCATTCAAAACCTTTTGGTAATAATCATATTGACGTGTCCGCCATGCATCCAAGCTGCTGCTAATTAGAGAAAGCACCAAGGACACACATTGCTGCTAGACAACAACTTGTATCATAAAAAAGGAAATGCAAGAAGTTTAGAGAAATATCAAAAGCATCATAGAGTATCAAACCTCTTCAGTCAAACTAAGGTGAAAGCGTTTCCTCAAATTCTGAATTGCACGTGGACCACCCTTGAAACAGGGGAAACCGGAATCCTGATGCAGAGAGTATTTCAATTAGATAAAATCAACTGGGTAAGTTGATTTAATAGAGGTTGAAGGTTTGTATGTCTGTTACTCAACTAACAACAAAGCTATAGAACTTATAATAAACAAACTCTCACTTTTCATGCATCCTTCACATTAACAAGGAATAAAATCAGCGAAGATGAAAGTGTAATGTCTTCCTAAAGGTTCTAGCAATGATTAGTATTACAGCAAGTTATGGATTCAATCTGACTAGTACAGAAAGTATATAATTCATAATTGAACATCTCTGTCTACTCCATTATCAAGCAGAATTCTTTTTCAAAGATGCATTCAAGTCATAATCCCAAATGCACTTAAATCCTTGAAATTAGATAA